CCGCTGCTGGAAACCTTTGCTCTTTGGGTTGCAGTTGTTCAGATTAAGTCTCTCCCTACCCACAGGCAGACCTTGTGAAGGGCCGTGGGACCTCGTGCGCTGCTTTCTACCACAGAACTGCCATCTGTTGAAAGAACCGGCACCCACCCGAGTCATGGCTGTTTTCACAGTGCTGGTCTTTTCTCCCCTCAGAACGCCTTCCTCAAACCAGGTGCTGCTCGTGACACCTCCTGGCCCCTTTTGTAAGGCTGCAAAGGCACAGCTGACCCTGTTCATTTTAAAATACTATAAAGCAGCTGAACGGTTTTCCTTTTGCTGGAAAAAAACCCCTGATACTACTGTTGAAAGAGCTGTTAGGGGAAGGGACAGGCCGATCCTTAGCATGCAAAATGCAGCAGAAGACATACAGGAGGGAGAGGTGGAGGAGTTACAAGGCCGATAGTTTGCGAAAGACCGACTGACCCTGCAGCTGCCCTTCCCAAGGGGCTCTTGCCCCTCTTCAACGTGCCCTTTCTACCCCACCCCCCGCAGTGCCACCGGTACCCATCAAATCCTGATGACCTGGTTCGGTGAGCTAAAACCACTGAGAACTAATTTGTTTTTTTTCCTTCTGCTGCTGCTAAAGGCTGAGTTTTCTACCAGTTTAACCCCTCAACTGCATCTCATGTAAACTGCTAGGTGACAGGCAGTTCAAGGGAAGCAAGAGCAGCGTGCAGCCCGGGGAACAGGGGCAATTTTTGTGGCAGCTAACAGCCCAAATTAGCTCTGATGTCACACCACATCCTCAGGTCTCTGATGGCTAGGGAGACTAAAGGCATGGTAGAGAGGGCAAAGGAGAGACAGGAAAAGCGTGAAATCAAAACAGACCAAGGATAAAGAGAATACGCATACTAGATGCAAAGTAGGGGCTGGACTGTGAGTGTTGATCGTGGGAACAGATGGAGAGATAGAGAGAGAAACGACACCCATTACGCTCAAAATCGTATGTGTGAGAGAGGGGGAGAGGGGAGGGGAGAGTCACAGCGCGGTGGGAGAGATGGAATTCGCAAGACAGGAAAAAGATTTGCAGAAAATAGTGGTTTAAGAAAAACTGGAATCAGAACTTACTGTTCACTGGAAAATCACAGTCTAGTTGTATCGGTGCGGTTAGAAAAGAACGATCCTTAGAAAAGCGGCTTAATACGCTCTCTTTTAATATTTGACATTTGCAAGGATCACCTGCCCTTTGTACGTTGCATAGTCACACAAAAAGAGTGAAAAGGTACAGCATAGCATCAGCTTTGGCCAGCCCAATAAACATTTATTCTATCAACTGGAGGCATAACGTTGCACAGAATAAACTAGAGCCAAATCAAATAAAATATTCTTCCAGTTCTGTGGAGGATCGAGATGCAAACAAAAAGACTGATACTTCCATGGCTCTCCATTGGCACAGGAACCAGAAAGGAATATTCATTAGATCTGACTATAAATGTTTGTCTCGTGTGGGAGGTCTTAGTATAGTAATATGTATTAGAAACTTGATATTTTTCCAATCAAGCCTTTCCACTTGTATTTACATATATTTAATTGTAAATACCCATTTTCCTACCTGAAGCACTTTAAATAAGTGTACAATAAACACATTCTGCACAGAAGGGGAGCAAATAGCTTAGGGGACTTGTGCTCCAGCCTCCACATCGCTGGTCGGGCGCAATGCAAGGCAATCCCTCCTCACAGCTTGTGGGGGGTCTCGAGGACAGAGTTGGTGCTCTCACCCTCCTCTCTCCTCAACCTGGATCCTCCCCCCCAGCCAATAAATCATAATTGACGCAAACTGGCATCTGTGCGGGTGGAAAAGGCGACGGCTGGCAAGGAGGTGCCCTCTCACACACAGAAGTGGATTTCTTCAGAGCACAACAACTTCGGTTTGCAGCCGAGTCAATACGCACTTTTCTTTTCCGAGCAGCGAAATGCGCGGGCAATACAATTAGTACGCTCTGTAACTGCAACTTTATTTAAAACGGAACCGTGTAATGCACAGAAACACTCAAGTGAGATGTCGCCATTTGACCTCAGCTAAACAGTGCCGTTCACCACAGCCAGCAGCAGAACACGCTTCAGCCCCTCGCAGCGGCGAGGCGGCAGGGAGCCTGGAGCTGCCGTAGCTCTCCCCGAGAACTCCCCAGGTACACGGCAGCTTTCGGCGGGCACAAACCCATACCGCTTACACACGGGGGCTAAGGGTGTACCGAAGGAGTGCTTTTGTCCACTGCTGTCACCTAATGAATAGCTGATGTAGGGTGTGTCGTGAGTTCCTCAGATATATGCAAGAGCCCCAGTTTGTGACAGGCAACTTTTTTTTTTTTTTTTTTTTTTGGTGATGGTGTTTTAAAAAAAAAAAGAAAGAGAAGGTTTTCCAGTCAGGATGCAGTGATCGAAGACAACTGAAAGAAGGCTGCAAGCTATTCTTTCAAGATGAGGTTATGAAACCAAATTGATGAAACGGGTAACTGTGTGTGCAAGCATGAAAAAAGCAAGGCCTTACCAGCTGGTCTCACAGAAGACATAAGTTAGGATGAAGAGGCAGGCTTTCACATACTCAAACCACTCTTTGGGCATGATCCAGAGGCAGTAAGCTTCCAGCTGTACTTACTCCAGTACAGTAAGTATGAAGCTTTGTAAGTTAGTCATACTTGAAGACTCCCCCCGAAGACATCCTGTACCAAATTACCTGACATCTTGAACATTATTGCAGTCATACTGACCTACTGCTACAGCACGCATTAATGATTTAATAACCAACACTCACCAATTTTATGTTATGAAAGAACGCTAGTAGACCTGGGCAGAAATGCATGTCCTTTGTAACCACTTACCGTGAGAAAGTGATACTTAATTGCTACAGTTACATTAAGAGCAAAATTAAAATTTTATTTTCAAATCATCGGATTTGACGCCAAACTAAGAGAGGATAATGTTTCCTGTTAACTTATGGGGCAATCTGGAAAAGATTAAGAGACAACATCTTATGCTTCACATTTACACTCAGATTAACTATGAATTCATTTTATGAATTGTTGTAGGGTATATTTATAAGGTGAAATTAAGATGCCATTTACCTTAATACTGACAGATTGAAGTCAGAAGGACTACAGGAAGTAAGAAAAATACTTGTGGAGAATAAAACAGATAGAGTGCCTCTTCTGAAAGTCGCATACAGTTTTTTTCCATGTAGATTAACACTTTTACCATTACGGATCATAAACTGTAAAGCAGTTCTTGTGTATATCAGAAAATTCTATTTTATGCGTGAATTTCATGTCTTATACATGAAGACAGATAGAACTCTTCTACTGCATTATTGGAGACTTATCAAAAACAGGATGCTTTTTTCTTGAGAAGATGAAAAGTACAGAGATAAGCAGGGAAATAAAGACTGAAGTTTTAACCAATAATATTTTTGTGTGGTTATCAGAGGAATGTAATAATTAATCTTTTAATCATTCTGAAGATTGTGTGAAATCATAGTATCTCATCTTTTCCAGCCTCAACCTGCCATTCTTGATCTGAATTACAAACAATAAGAAAGGAGATGATTTAATGAGCAACTTTGTCATGTTGCCATTTTGCCTTAGTCAAAGGCAAATGTCTAGTTTTGCCTCTAAACTAAAATGGAACAGACTAACGTTTCAACTATGCTCACAACTGAGGCAAACGTGAATGGAAAAGTTAGGGCTATTTTAAAGCTAGAACCCCGGTGTCTTCACATTTTCACAGAGACATAATTAAATACACACTGTTTAGAAGAAACAAACATTTGTTTACTAGAAAATAAAGTCCATGTTGTGAAGAAACACACATTTGACAAATACCAAACTAAATCCAAAAAGAAAGATTTCAGTCACAATGGCAATAGGTATGTTCTTACTATGAAGGAAAAAAAAAAGTCAGCATGATTTAATCATACTCAATAAATAGGCACTTCAATAAAGTATATATTTACACTGGCTTTCTGAATGCTAGGGCATCACAAAGTAGTATGGCTTTATTACAATGGATGGAAGATGGCAACTACTTAGAACCCAGTGCCAACATGGATTATAACAAATCCAGTGAGTATTTTGTTTTTCAATTATTCATAGAAAATTTAATCCTGATTAAGTATCCTTGGGCAGGAATTCATGGGTAGTTGATGACTGAAACCAACATTTATTTGAAATGCTTCTGTTAATTTAATCTGTGTATATGGCTTAATTATGATTGAATCCTCAATGTAACAGAAATGAATTATATCAGGATTAAAATTCTAGTACCACATCACCCATTCCATTTTCTTCGCCTTTTTTTTTATTTAAAAGATGTGAGCCTGCTGTTAATTACCTTTATGTTGCTATGTCTTCTAAGCCTCAAATACTGTTTAGACCTTCATTACTGGATGAAATATTTAGTTACATTTCTTTTTTTTTTAAAAAAAGGCAGATATAAACCCTATTTTCATTCCCACTAAAATTTTAACCAGTATGAACATCAATTGCAAAAAAGGCTTTTCTTTTACACCAGTAATAAAGGAAAGTTTCTCGCAGTCAGCTGTGAACATTTTACACATGTTTTCTAGAGGACTCTCCCTCCTTGGTTTCCCCTTCCTTTATACATAAAATGCATTTTCTCTAAAGTATGAAAATAAAAGAACTTGTACTCATCGTTACGCATCACACCAATTTCACAACTGGCCTGTTTCAGACTTGTTTGAGCTTGCAGATGTTTTAAGAACTGCATTTTATAAGACCTTCAAACCTAGTATTGATATAAATTAAGGACATTTTCTGTGGCTGTGAATGGGAGAGAAAAGATTCATGGTACTTGTCTGTGATACTCAGCACCACATGCTACATATAAACAATATTCAAATTATGGATTTTTCCACTCCACCATAGTCTTACCAGATTAATGTAGGGACCTTGTCAGACCAAAGGTCTGTGAAGTGCTCTGATATTATCACTCAGTTTTTCCATTGAAACCAATGTATCACATGCCTGTGACAAAAATACCTGTATATTTAGGTCATTATTGCACATTTATTAAATAATGTATTCTTCCTAAACATCTCAGAAGTGATGTCGATTTTTATGTCCAGAGGATACTGTTAGTGGCAATGTCACTGATGACAGTGAAGATACTTCCCAATATAGACTATGAGATAGAAAAAGTCTGTAGAGGATAACCATGGAGATGCACTGACAGAGGATAACACCTATGGTAATAATCTAGAGACAAAAAAGAGAGAAAAGGAAAAAGTAAGTGAAAAAAATCCAACACCAAACAACCCAAGATAAATTTCTGTCAGCATACTGTGTCAGTGCTTGAGGTTTAACTTTAAACCCTTTAATACTGCTGCAGTTACAAAAGATTTGAACACGAATCTCAAGGCCAGGATTCAGACTCTCACACCTGGGTGTTTTTAAATCAGTAGATAGCCCTGGGCAAGTCACATAACCCTTCTGGCAGTCTCTGTTCTGGGGAATTTCAGACTAGCAATTCACCACCCATGCAGTTTCACAAGCAGAGGTGATGTTTAGATATTCTATTCTTACAACAAACAGAGTGGGGGAAAAAAAAGCCTGGAAACACTTTGCACTAGCACAATCACGGAGCTGTGAGGGTAGTGATTTATCAGTCTCGCTTAGCCAGACCTCTTCCCAGTGCAAGTCTCTTCATCTGTCAAAAATGTGTAAGGCAGTATTTATCAAATGCATAAAGGTAACTACTGTTTCTGAGAAAGCAAAAGTCTAAGTTTATCTACAAGAGAGTCTTTTAAAATAGATGTTTTTTCTTAAGCAAATATGGTATTTATTGATCATACATTTCTTTATTATACTGAAGTGCATTTAAAGAAGGAAACACAGCTACATTAACATAACGTAGGAACTGCAGCTGCACACAATGGTTAAACTTGTGCAAACGCAAGAGCAGAGCAACTGTAATGTCCCTTCAGTAAGCTAAAAATCTCAAAATATAGCAAAACTTTCCTTTACTGATCTTATATCTAGAGATTTTCCCCCTGCCCTGATGATGTTTTCATCAAGCAACAACAAAAAGTCTCTTCATTAATAGCTCTAGGAGTCTTTTTTCTCCCTAGATTTCTTTTTTTTTGCTTATTTTTAAAAAATCAAATGTGGCAGTTCACTTACTACGGATTTTTAGGGGAACCTTTTTCTTTCCCTTACATATCCTCTACACAAATAAAAGCTTAATTTCCAAAAATGCACAGATGCTTATAACCATAAAGAAAAGAAGCAAACTCTACCCTGGAATGAGGTAGTCGATCACCTGAGAATAGCAGTGCACTTTATCTGAACATGGCAGGCTCCATGCACTAGTTCTCTAGTTCTCTATGTGTTTAAGCAACTAAGAAACCCAGTGAGTCCACCTTTGTTTTTAACTGTTTAGAGCTTACAAACCAAACAATGTATTTGGACAGATTTCTTAATCTAAAGAACACAGTTCAGCTACAGGTTCCCTGACCTATTTAGCCACATAAAGCTTTTAAAGGATGAAGACTAAAAAGCAAACAACAAAAAAATCCACTGATTTATCTTTCTACTAGCTTTGTTAAAAGAATCCTCAAGGTGTTTTTAATTAAAAAACAAACAAGCAAACAATAAAACAAAACACCCCCTCCACATTTTCCTTTGACTTAGCAACCCTCCCCCCCGCCCTTTACCTAGGAATGATTACCCTTAGATGATTCAAACCCTGTACGCCTTTGTAAAATATGACTCACATTAGCATCAATGAGAGCTGTGTGACTAAGACTTTTCAAGTTGCTTTGGGGTCATAAGATTAACAGCCTAAGAGCATGAGTTTGCTAACAAACACTGAACATGAAGAACAACTACTATTCAAATTCCATCTCTTTTATCTTGCCTGTACATACCTTTTCTCTTTGATATTCTCTGAATATTACAGAAATGGTTGCAAGACATGGGTGGCACAAAAACCAGAGAATGCAGGCCTGAAAGAGAAGATGAGTATAAGTTATAAAATGACTACATGCCAGTTTAGAAGAAAGAGATGACAGTTAGAGGAACTGCATTTACATTTCTGCCTATTTTATGAACCCATTGTTTAATTTTCAATCAACAGAACGAAAACCACACAATGAAAGGTGGGATTTCTGTTTAAAAAAGCTCTATACTCCTTGTCAAATTAAAATGACTAATCAGACTATGATGACATGGTGCAATTTAATCAAATCAGACACTGAAACATCAGCTTTCTTATGGAGGAAAAGAGTTTGGTGCTTCAGTCAACTGCATGCCACAATTATATTTACAGCAGAAGGGATTAGTTTCCCTGATGTAATCCATACTTTGGCAAAGGTGATATAGAACTCCCTTTTCAGCGTGCTTCTCTCCACTGTGATGATCTGGTAAAGGCCGGCAGCCAGTGACAAAGCCAGGCAAACTCTGAGGCCAATAAGCAGTCCACTTGCTAAGCCATGGTGTGAATGGTAGCTGTGGTGATTCGTATCTTCAAACTGCTCCCAAATTAATAAAAAGCTCTGGAAAGGAACAACAACAGCAAAGTACATTTAGAATAAACAAGGTTACGCTAAACCTCAATTAATCTTCCCATCGCAGATTAAATTATCCGCACAACTGGTCATACTCCACTCTGCTTGTCGGAGACCGCCATGTTACACAAAAAAACCCCTGGCCTGAACTGCTTTTTGGCACCACCTATTACTCCAAGAGCAACTGGCAGGAACAGTGTCTCACTTCTTGCATTCTGTAACTTTTAGAAAGTTTGACAAGCTAAAGTTTCCTCTAATTTGGATAGAAGGAATGTGACACCTTAGCATAAGATCCAAAATAATCATGTATTAAACAGCCAGCCTACTGAGCAGGAAGCCCACTGAAATGATTCCACAGAGCTACAGGGAGGTGTCTCCTTCCACTTGGGATCCACAACCCGTAAAGCTTGTTTCAAAGGCAGGCGACTACGCCTTTTCTTTCAAAATCCTAACAGGATTCACTTTTCTTTTTTTAAGATGGGGAAGTAAGAGGGTGGTGCTGCTGCCCCTTTTATACAATAGCCTAAAGGCGCAAGCACTCACCCAGGTTGAACTTGGATCTCCCACAATTCCCTTCTTTGCCTAAAGGATATCCAGCTCACATCTCCCACCTCCTTGGAGAGTGCCCCAACTGCCAGGCTATAGGCTGTTCCTGGGTGGGCCACTCTCCACCCCTTCTATTGAAGCTGTGCCATTGTGGAGAAAAGAATTCAACATCAGCTAGGTCAGAAACTGCGAGCGAGCCTGACTCTGCAAGCAATCGGCTCGGAAACCTCCTAGGGTCTAGGAAAGGGAGCGTCATAGGTTCCAAATACCGTTCCAACATCTGGACAAATGCTCTAGCCAACAGATAACTACACGAAAGATAGAAATCCTCCTTAACTGTCAGCACTGTATCCGTTTGCTGCAGAATCCAATTTTATAGGAGAAGGAACATTGATAGATTCTCTAAGGAAAAACAGACTAAGAAGTGCCTAGTTTCTGAATCTTAGTTGGGTAGAAGGCAGGCGCCTACTTGTTGCATAAAAATTGGGTCTTGCTGAAGAGTACTTTTTTAAGACTTTGGGAATGTTAACATTATAAATTAGAATACGCATAAAGTTTAGACTCTCCCAGCATCATATAGCAGCTGAATGGCATTTTAAGACTTGAATATACGCTGGAATCCAGTCCACCTACTGCACACATCCAACTTGCACTTAGGTTTCAGGTGTCTAATGAAGCAGGCTTTCTGAAGAAAGGTAGGCAAATTTGATTTATATGAGCAAGGTAGCTCTGAAGGCCTTCAGAAGCAGACATTGTATGCCTCAATTTAGAAATCTAAATTAGTCAGATTCCCTTCTGAACACATTCAAAGGCGCTCTCACTGCATGAACTACATAAAGACAAAAAGGTTATTGACATTAACTTTTTTTTTTAAATGTGTAATCCACCTGTGCCTTCCAAAGGTGGGTGTCCTTGAGTTTCATCAGTCAAGATAGCATCATTTTCGCTTAGAATATCATCAGAGAGTACTCTCTCATTTTTCCCCTCCCTCACCTAGGCCATGTCACAGCAAGCATGACTGCTGGCATTTCAGTCACTCCTCAACTAACCTGGATGGAAAACGGAAGGATGGGAGAGGGACAGATGTGAAGCATGCATGTCTTGAACATCACTGACTACTAGTAAGCAATCTGACCAACATGCTTCAAATGTTCCCACCATAACACTCCATTCCAGGGTGACTCCAAGCAAATGTCTTTCAATGATCCAATGACTTGACTGAGAATTCTGTCAAGGAGTAAGACTGAAATAAGATAGTGTTTGGTAAAGTTCTGTCTACAGCACTAGTTTTGTCATGAAATTGATGAATTCCTGTCACAGAAGTTATTTCAGTCCAGGTAGAAGGTGCCCAGAAAACAAACAAGGGTTCTACCAGTAACAAAATCACTGCAGTCTTGTACAGAGCATTTTCCTTTGACATTTACACTTGAGAATAGCCAAGGGATTTAACTTCCCTGGACTGGACATACACTGTCTGAGAAAACGTAAAAAAAACTCTACCTATGTATAGAATCTTCCTGACAAAAGCATGCATCTGGGGAAGGGGTGGGGGGAGAAATATAGGCTGACGGAGATGAACTGTGATCCTGCTTTAAGAAGAAACTTTAGGTAGATCCCAGGGATAGCTTAACCTTAAAGAACAGAGCTCATGAGGGTTTGAATTTTTCTTAACCTACACCAATAGTAACAGCAATGAAGTAAGCCACTTTCATGAGAAGATGACAAAGACATGGAGTAAAGGAATCATGAGAACAAAGTTCAAATCCTCATGAGAAAATAGTGTCTGACAGCAGGGTATGCCCTGGACTAGCCCTTTAAAGAGTGTAAAATGTGTAAACAACGCAGGAATCAGTTGATCAAAGACTGTGTGTGGTGACAGCAATGTAAGATCACAGAAGTCCAGCTTCCTTTAGTTTCATTAGATTATTCCAAAATAAGCAGAAGGCAGAGGCATTAGAGGCAGAGATGGAACTGTCAGTGCAACACACTGGAAACTTGGACAAGGCGAATATGTGTCACTGCTTTTACTGTTCTGGGACTATTCTCACTCACCAGAGAAAAGCAGGATCCTATAAAAGAGAAATCTGTGCTATGGAGTGTTTCTAGGTTACAATGGATTAGGCAATCTGTTCTCAGTGAAGGAAGAGCTTTCACAGACTAGCATGATCTTGAAGTCAAAATCTCTTTGGCTGGCTATGCCTGAGAAATTAAGGTAAATAAGCCCTGAAGTCCCTTACCTTGACCACAGAAAGGCATACATATATCAGCTCACTTAGCTGCAATATCAGGAACAAGCTGAAAAAACACCCAGACACCAACCTGCTGAAGTGGATACCAGAGACGCTTTTTTGTTGGCAGTGAGCAGAACTGTGTTTGAGCACTGAGAAGAAATCAGGGCGGAAATCCTAATTTTTATCCAGAACAACAACTCTGCTTTGGCTGTAGACAAAAGAACTGGATGAGCTAGGTAGCTGAAGAGCTGACTCGCACTAGTTATGTCCAACATTAAAGTCACAACTGCTTCTTCATAAAGTAAAGGAGAATGACCATCTCCTTGTTTACATAATACACTGTTCAAAATAACTGACTTCACCTGCACATATTTTTGACCTATCTTGGTTCACAGTGGACACCAACCACTGTCCAGTACTGGTCTTCCTCTTCAAATCCTGAAGAGTGTTTGCCACAGACATCATCCTGATGTTCCAGATATACGAGCTGAACCTCCACAGCCATACAATGAAGAAACAGACACTCTTCTTTTTTGCCATGAGGAAACAATTACGGTAGAACCCCTCCTCCCTGTCGCTATGCCAACACTGACTTTACGGCAAGCCAAGATAACATATCAATCCAGTAAAGGCAGGTTCTCGTGGGACAGATCATCTCTGAGAGGCAAGGGGAAGGGGGAAGAAAAAGGGAAATTAAAAGTAGCAGCAAGGTAAAGTGGATTACCTAGCTGCTTCTAACCACTTGGGTATCTGATGTCATACAATGCCAGTACAGTAAAAAATGGTTTAGATTTAAGGTCAGGGGCAGAACTCATTCTGAGCACACCTTTGGGGGGTATCTAGGAAACCCTGTCAAGCGTGACATCTAATGAAGTAAGATTCTATGTCATTTTGGTCAGGTTCAAAGAGATCAGCTATCTTTCTAGAATCATTGCCTCCACTCCAGTCAGCCCTGAAAGCTGAAACTACTCAGGTCTATGTGATGGGAAAGGCCGGCCATCAACAAAGTTTTGAACAAGGTTTGTGTCTCGGCAGCAGAGAGTGGAATCTTTAATGAATACAGAGCGGCCTGGGAATCTTTTGTTCTGAGGCTGAAATAAAGAACAAGTTAAGGCAAAGGGAGATGCTGAAAGGCAGACTTGTCCCTCCTTTGAGATGCTACCTCTTTGCAGCTGCAAAGACCACAAGAGATTTGCTGACTAGGAGGCTGTGTCCACCCTACACCGATGGTAACCTGTAAACACAGCCAGGAAAATTGCTGGTGTTTCTGAAAGAATAAGAAGAAAGAATCCATAGCATCAGTACAAAGAGAAGAAAAAACCCTGAAAATTTCCTGAGTAATTTGAACTAGTAGCAGGCAAACAGGGTCAGACAGTTTGCCAGTCAAAACTGCAGTTAAGTTGAAGAATAACATGTTTTCCCAGGCTGTCCACTTGCTTGACTTCCCTGACAATGAGATGAGGACAGGTAGTGTGGAGCGTCCTTAAAACTAACATGGTTCAATCTCTATCTGCTGCGTTAGGGTAATGCATGTGGTTTCCAGCACCCTCCACAGTAAGTCCTCAGAGCATCTCTGATTATCCACGTTAAGTCCATCCAACCTCTGGCATGGGAGAAAGCTGGCTCTCCCATAAGAATCTCTGGGAAAGAGCAGGACAGAAAGGAGGTTATTCTAGTGTTTTAATCATTAAAAGCGCTCATTGGTTGCCGTGTTACAGCAAGTCCAACACCCACGTCAATCTAGACAGACCAGTGAACAAGACTAATCCAGAGAATGAAGTCTTGAGCTCACCACCTTTGATAGAGGTGATGCGGTCTAGATCCTGCTCCCCTGAGCTCAACATCCACATTCTGTATTAAGAAGAAGAAATCTGGCAGAAGGTACATTTTGTATGTACTGAACCATGAGATGGAAAACATCCTCTCCAGAAGGGGCAAGGATACTCTTGGTGTTAGGGCACTTTTGCTGGAGACAGTAAACACTGAGATGGGGGTGCAAAACCACCCAGGCAATGACATATGCTGATATCCATATTCTGTTCCTACAAGATTCCTGCCAAACCCGACATTCCCAACGGTACCAGGAGGAAAGATGTGGTAGAGCTGTGCTTTCGTGGTGAAAAGTAAGATAGCCAACTTTGTGCCAATGCTCCAGTGGTGCCCAAAGAGCCAACACAAATGTGTAATGGACCAGCACTGCGGGAAGCAGCATATATGTGTGATACCTGCCCCAATTTTTACCACAAGTAACAACCGAAAAAAGATCAAGCTGATGATACTGAGTGTCCTTTCTATGTACAGTAAAAAGGAAACAACAAAAAACTTTCCAGTCTCAAGTGACAGAGTACTAACACACCCGTATGTATGTACAAGTGGAGAGGCATAAATAAAATTAAATACTTTAGAAGCCTTCTTTACTACCAGCATGTAAAATTTCTGGTGCTAGATGGGTGTCAGAGTAAGGTGGAATGAATCTACCTTTAAATTTCAACAGTCCCATTGACCTTAATAGCCTTTGGTTTATATTCTTAATCAGCAAGAAATGTCATCTCCCAGCTAATCTTAATGTTTTAGCAGTCCGCTTATTTAGTTTGGAAGCAGCACTAATTACAGATACTACTCAAATGGCACAAAATCTTCAGTATAATCTCTTCCTCATTACTATCTCCAGTTTCTCCCTGCTCTTCTCTTTCTCAATGGCTTTCAGATTCTCTTGTCTTTATGCTGTGATTTAAAAGAATTTGTTTACAAAAGGCACCACCAGCGTTGGATGATCTCCATTACAATTTACTTTTAAGTTACTGGTTTACTTGACTTTCTAATTTATACTAATGGAAAATATTTGAATGAAATTATGTGTCAGACCATTTGTGTATTTGCAAGACCAACCCTGCACATGAACCTTCTGAGAAGTCCCTTTTATTGATTGAAAAGACCATCAGACATCCTATTTGAGTGGTTCTAAGAGGAAGACACTGAGGATTTCAATTTTTTTTGGTGACAGAAATGATTTGTCACAGCATCTTTTATTTGTCTTTCCTCTTATGCTGCTTGTTGTCACCCCCCCAATGTAGTTCACAAACCCTCAGTTGTACTGATTACAACTATTTATAGGACCACATTATAAATCAGATCAGTAAAATGACTGTGCTGAATTTTTTTTTCTTTTTTCTCTCCCAAATCTAGATCATTCCACTGATCTGGTTTACAGTATAATGCCTCGAACAATTGGCACAACCAGGAGTTTGGAAAACTGTGGGAAATTCTTAAGTGGTTTTACTGCTGAACAAAAACATACTGTGGAGCTACACCTTGAATTGTTAAAGTAAAGAGAAGGTGTTGTTACCTATTAGACATACCGGGTGCACATAATGCTGTGGGGTTTTTTTTCCAGTCTTGATACTCCCTCCCTCATAACATATTGAAATTAGTTGGTTCACAGTTCTGTCATACTTAATAGCAGCTGTATATTTCAGTATAAGAATGAATACAAAATACAAACCTGTGTAACAACAACTACTACAGCAATGCCAGTAGATGTTGGAGTGGAATCCCACTGAAGAGGTCTGCCGTGAGATTTCTTCATTCTGCCTATCATCCAACCCATACACAGGCTCAACAATAAATACAGCATTTGTATCTGTGAGACTATGTCACACACTATTGAAAACAAAAGAAAAATAGTCACAACAAAAATAATGTTTTTTCTAAAGCAAAGAGAAATGTTCTATATACCCACAAATGAAGGATGAACATTTATGCCTCTGCATCACCTTCAGTCATAATTTTGATGATAGTTTGACTAGCTGAGGTTGCTTTGCCACAAAATGTGGATATTTTGAGCAGTTTCCAGTGACCAAACAGACCACTATCAGCTTTCCTCTAGTTATGCTGCAGTTCTGCAACACCACAGGCACAGCGCCACATCCCTCCAAATCCCACTCTTGTGTCAAAGAAGTCTGGGCTCAGGAGTCCAGCTGCGTAAATAGACTTATAACGCTAAAGAACTAAAATCATATGTATGTTAATCACACTGCAAATATGAAACATGATGAAATGAACTCCTTTCTTTGCTCTGAAAAACCTTTGTTCAAAAATCAGATAGTTGCATTGTACTTTAAATTAATTGCACTTTGTCTTAAGGATGCAGTAGCTTGCAACAGAAAGCACAAATATTTAGGACAAATTCCATTCTCAGATACTTAAAGGAGAAAATATAATGAATAACCCTAACACAAACTTCATTTGGAGCAACAATTTGCCTGTATTTCATTTTATTAAATGCAAACTACCTTTGCCTCATTTTGCTATGTCCATTTTTTTTGCTCTGTTTGGGAACAATTAACACATACTCCATAAAGTTACATTCTTAATCAGTGTCTCAAACCTGTGTGTGAAGCTGTGTCTGAAGAAAGAAAACTTCAAGCTAGAATATATTAAAGCCTGTAGTTGTTAGCCTTGCTGAAGTACTACTGACAGTAGAAAGAACTGAAGCTTTCTTTCTGGGTGATTGTTAGCTTTAGACCTGATAAGTTCTTGACTGAAGCTTATCGAACAATTTTTAAGTTGGTGTTTGGACTTGAGAGTAAACTGGCTCACTGTGCTGGCATAGCAGAGATGTACAAGAAAAATTGATTCTTATATTATGTAAATTGCAAATTTGGCTCAGAAACTAGAGATTGGGCACTACACACAAGAATGCTTTCTTTTTCACTGGATTAATATTTTAGTTCAATTACATTTGTTCCTTATTTGTAATTTTCACTTACACTATCAGGTACAAGAACAATATTTCTATGTCACAAAAGCAAACTTCTATTTTTATACAACTGGACTGCATTATAAAAGATAAAAAGTATGTCCACATTTACTAAAAATATTGGCACAGAAAATGTTGCCACTGTAGAGAGATTAATACGCACACGAGGGAAGTGTGTCATATGAAGATCAGCTACAATATTTCCCTGACACTCAGGAATACTAGCAAAATATGAATATAAAACAGACTTCAACACGTTATTCCTGGGATATATTTGGTATTCTCACAGTTTATATGCTTAAATGCTTCTTAACGTATTCAGACACCTTTGCTGTTTAAGAAGTGTCAAGAGCTTTTAGTAAATACAAAATTGCTCACCCACTCTTTAATAAAATGAACTGGCACTGATTTTGGGCAAAATGATCTTGGAATTATTTTACAATGCTAGCTATGGAGACATAGTACTCACTAGAAAAAAATGTTACATTGTTGTGTGAACGCAAGGCATGCCAAACCAGTGTCACAAATCCAAGCTAGAGAAATGACTGAACATGGATGTTCTAGAGAGCGTTTTATTTTCTTCTGTCACTCAAGATAACGTGCCCTATAAGTTATAGCCAGACATGATCTCTCAATCACATCTTGGATTATGGATATTGCTTTGCTTCAGTGTGGCAACAATTCAAGTGGATTCCCAGACAAAATTGTGTTAAGACAAAAATTCAGTACCGTCTTTAATCTTTGACATCTCATACATCCTGCCAGAAAATAAGACGGTTGAGAGCAATTTTTAAAATGACAACAATCCCATGATATCCAGGGTCAGTGTAAAGTCACATGCTACTGAGCTGATACCACATTTGTCTGATTTCATCACAATTATCGTTCTTGGCTGTTCAACAGGCATAATAATATTCTTTGACTTTTCACATTTCAATCTTAAAAAGTTAAAAGATCACTATTTGTGATGCTTTTGAGTGCCAGCATTATTTGCGTGATTTATGTGACTAACTTAAGCGATAAATTAGACTGAGGGTCAGGTCTTTGTACGTGGTAAAGACTAAATGATGGCAGAAAAAGAATAATTGCTTGGGATAGTATCTGAACACGTTTCTAGAAAGAAGTTCTGGCCCCACTGAAGTCAATAAAAATTAACTTCTAACTCGGATTTCTGTTCTGATATAGGAAAAATGGAAGCACTTTCCGTCTTCAAACTGTACTACTTGCTATCAGCCATTCTTCAGAATTTTAGCTGACGCTGAAGCTTTCCACATTACCATTACTTCTGCTCTTTCCCAGTTTTGGGAACCACGAACCTTAAAAACAGTAGTAAAGGAAGACTCTCTTAGCCGAATTTCTTAAATTCAGCTATTGATTCAAAAAACATTTTTTTATTCTTAAACTTTGCTATAAGCAAATGAAAGTGGGGTCTTCGCTGTAATACATACACAGAGAATCTAACATGCAGCTCTGAAGTTCTGGCTGTGTAGTTAACACTGGGTTTCTCACTGTGGAGGAGTTACAACTACCTCCATATTCTCTATTTAGTTTAATTTCAGGAGATGAGAGGGAAAGTTTAATAACACAGTTGCTGGAGAGGCTGCAAGGAGCTGCTAACTCAAATGGTTAAAACAAGAAAGAGGCAATTACTGTGGTGCCAAGTGCCATCAAGAGGCTGTTAATTCCAACTGCAAGCTTCTAAATGAACTGTAGGAAGCGAAATTTTTTTCTACATAGGCTGTTACTCTCCAACGCTATCTCACTACCACCGTACTACTTTCTCGGGCGCTTCAAGCCAAACAAAAGGTAACGTATTTGCTTAGAAACAACCCCCCCAGTGCTTCACGTACAAACTACAGAAAAAAACCCCAAGGATGTTTAACCCTGAAGAATCCAGCAGGAGTAAATTCATGCATTTTGGGAAGGGATGTTATAGGAATTCAGTTCCAGTGAGAACTCAGAATATCTATACAGAGTGGAGAAAAATGCTTTGTTAACATCAATTCTTTATATAAGCATTTTTTGCATCAGTCATATCACTTGTGCTGTAAAACACTTTTTCATTATGATCAATGTTGAATTTGCTAGTGAAATGACACACTCCATAAAACACAATTAAGCTTCCTAAAAAGCTTCACTAGTCTAGATCATGGAAACTCTGCAAAGCCCTTCAACGTACTGAAACATTTACTCATGTGATAAGCATGCATTTATGTGTTTGTAGAATGGAATCTTCACACAAGATAATCTTTTATACAATCCTCAACAGTATCACAATTGTATAACTTTAAATACAGTTATGGTAAACATCCAGAATGAAACCTGCTTTTCAGAAGAGCAACTTTTAGTATATTCTAGATCAAAAATCCAGTGGTGTGGTCCAAGATCATAATACAGTCCAACAACAGCATTCGCTACTGTACTATACAGATTAATGTGTAGGAATATGTAAGAAACAGTAGACGAGCATACTCACATTCTGCCAGACTTCCCATAAAAGGTGCTCCTACTCCATCTCTAGAATAACTGATAAAAGAATAAAATACCGTATTTTTAAGTGAGTCTTAAGTGTGTGTTCTCTCTTAAAAGTATATTTAGGCAATGACATAGTTCTAAAAAGTCAGTCCTATGTTTTGTCACAATCACCACAGGAAAGATCAGGTACTGATCTTTACAACACAATGTTCTTCAAGTCTTAAGACTGAAAGCAAAAATAAGCAAAGATACCTTGAGAAATGCAGGTAGTTGGCAAAAGCTGAACCAGCCTGCAACAGTAATGCAATTGTCAGCACCTTTAAAACAGTATGCATAGGTCCACGCTTCCTAATTGTTTGCCATAGGGACTGCGCATATATGCAAGCAGTTATGAAGTATGCTAGGACAAGCAGGAAAAAGAATTCATGTAATCCTATGAAAAAAGAAATACAGATTAGTTTTTATAAAGAAACGTTGCTACTAGCAGTAAATAACTAAAACAAAATTTTTTTTTTATATAATCACTGGGAAATACTTAGTAACTGTCACCCAGAAGTGGTAGTACAGATAAAATGAGTAAATTGGAGCCTATTTTATCCAAGAAAGTCAGTGAATTTTTTCAGAGAGCTGACTATTGCTTGATCTGACAAAGTATTTTTTACTCAACAATACCTTTTCTGGGTGCAGGAGAGATTCTGTTCAAATACAAATAGCTTTGTAGCAATTACTGAAGTAGTGTAAAGTGACATACAGTTTCTTGATAAACAAAAATATTTGTAGCCCATTTGATCAGTCAGAAACATATTTATTAAAGGACTCGTTTATAGCTTTTTTTTTCCCCTTCAATTTTTAAAGGCCCAATCTGAGGTGAGAGAAACCCAGAACAGATTTCTACTGAATCTATTTAACCACTGGGTGTCACTCTTCCTCCACATAAAGCAGGTAGTCCAAGAAGCACAGCTGACCAAGACAGAAAACTTCCAGATAAAGAAAAATAGCACAGAGAACAATAATAAGTTCACAGAGTGGGGGTTTTTTTGCACCAATCTGAAAAAAATGCCTAAAGTTTTTGATATTTTTACAAAAAAAGTCCTCTAACTTTCAGTCTGGCAGTAGTCTGGTGAAATGCTTCCCTGAAGACCTGGATCCTGGAAATCTTTTCTATTGTCCAGGAGCTTTGGAACCCACTATATGAGCTCCCAAAGGGTCAAAGACAGTGAGCTACAAGCAGAAATGGGTAAACAGAAATTTCTCGCAAAAAACTTAATTTTTTCTTCTCCAACCTTCCTCGAAACCAAGTGGTGCCCACAGAATCAGATTCTGAACAATGTTTTTCCTCCAGCAACAAACCAATTCTGCTGAAAACTTCAACCAGCTCCACCCAGAGATTAGAAACAGAGCAATTATACACATTTCAATATCTAAGTTGAAAAACATTAGAACTGGATGAGTTCTGGATAGTTGCCAGTACTGTAACTTCTATGGCTAAATTTAATCAGCTTGAGCATACATAGAGTGAAATGGGAGAAAAAGAGCATAAGGTAATAAACACTCATAAACAAAAAATTTCAGGGCCACTCCGCTTCTCTTGTATACCTATACAAAAGCATGATTTATGACTGACAAAAATAAGCGTTTTAGATCAAATCTCTTACTCTTTTCTTTCACTCTTTATCTTTCTGCTTCAAAAGACACCACTGAAGTTGGCAAGGATTATGTAGATAAATTATTTCTCACCATGATGAGTGGGTACGCATTGAAAACTCTTTAGGAAAATCAACTAGCTTTTAATAAACACTAAAACATTTAGGATAGAAAGCTCCTTCCAACCAAAGACAGATTGTGGATGATTGGCTTGAGACCAAAAGGATTTAAGAGAATGTTGCACTGAAATACAACTGTAAAAAAACTAGAACAGTAATTTTCAACCTGTCTTTTTTAAGTTTCCTGACTTTCAAGTAACCTAGAGTTGACAAAGAAAATAAAACACATGTACCTTAATTTGAAATGCCTAACTTCAAAGAACTTCAAAATGCTGTCTACCTGCTCAGCTGCCCTTAGAAATCCTACATTCCACTGGTACCATGTTTTCCGTAAAAATACCTACCATATAAAATGATAAAAGATGACTTGCTAGGGACAGAAGCCCTCCTCCTCCTCTTTCAAGGCAAACTTCTTAATCACAAGGTTACAGTCTCAAGTTCTTTCCTATATTTTCCTTATAGTCCATTTAATTTTGAGATCTCCTGAGGCCACAACTTTAGTAACTAAAGTGAAGGGTGACCTAACTAGAACCATCTGGAACTACGTAGTTTTCAGCTGCCCGAGTGAAAAAACCAAGAAATGAAGATGGATCTTTTCTTTGATGCCCTAATGTTCTATGCTGCATATCTCTACGGAAAAAGGACAAAAATTATTCCCCGAAGATGCATTTTAAAAAAAAAGAGAGAGAGAAGAAATCCTTGTCAGTTCTTTGAAAGCAGACACAGGCATGTAACTTCAGGATTCATGCAGTGTTGCAGGTTTTAATTCTGAATAAACAGAGGTGTTTCTCTGCAACCATGGAAGACACGGCACGTAAAGCTCATCCTGTTTCCTACTTGTTAGATCTAAATACGAGCATCCAACACAATTATACACCTCCCTGCTCAGCATGCAAGCTGTTCAGAGCTCTGCTTCCAACTGCTCAAAGTCTTCCTACAAAATGAATATAGAGCTGAGATGCCTCTCTAGGAGGTTTGTGCACCACTTTTAAGGGCCACATGCTATCTTATAGCTGCTTTGCCCCTTGATTTAGCAAAAGGATGCTACTACTGCTTTTTGAGAATAAGTAAATTAACCTAGAATTCACTTCTGGATACAAAACTCACCAAATAAAACCTGCCAACTAAGTTTGTAGCACAATTAAGAAGTTAGAGACAGGTAGGTCAACTTATAAGCCTTGAAAAATGGATGATTAACAGTGCTACTTTCTTACAGATTCTGCCAAATGTTTCAGTGAATATTCTCTTCCCTTCAAAAAGGGAGCTGCCTTCCCCCTATATCCTCTTGAGACCAAGAATGACAGCAGACCACATGATTCTGAGCATAGCAATTAGGCTCATTCTGGGTATGTAGGTTAAATCTGTATATGAAGGCAGACTAAGCCTATTGGGCTCGTCCCTTGATGAGGCCTCCCAGAGCAGTGAAGTTAAGCACTGCAATAAAGTATGCATTAGGTTGGTTTGGATTGTCCAAAGCATACAATTTTATGTAGGCGTTTCTTCGGATGCTGTCTTGAGTGACTTCTAGAAGTTCTTCTCTGCAGGTTTAAAGATTTATAATTGCATTTCTAAAATAAAATAAAATCAGGACTGACAAATACCTCATCTAATCTGTGGCCTGTGACTAAGATACTTAGAAAGACCTAAACATTGAACTGAAATTGTATTGGCAAAATGTTGTATCATGCATGTACTCGTGTTGTACAGAGTAAAATTTTACACAGCTAAGGAATTTCAGGAATTAAATAAGAAAATGCATTAAAATCAGAATTAACCAAATTCATCAAAATTAGGGATTAAATTCACATTCAAGCGGAAGCTTAAAATTTCAACAGGGGAAAAATGCCTATTAGCAAAGATGTCAACACTATCTTTCCTTGTGCATCTATGCTTCCAGTTAGCCCAGTTTTGGAAAGTCAGTCTAGAGAGAGGGAAGGATTTTTCTGTAATGCCAGAAAATGAGTTAAAGTTTACTCTCTGTGAGAAAGTAGAATCTGAAATGTAAGAGACTCTGCTATCCATTCCCCAGTGCCACACTTTTCCAAGCATAGTATGTACTGATTTGTTTGGGTAACCAGATCCTTAACTTACAAATCTAATTTTAAGAAAAAAAATCTTACCAGATTCCCCTGCGCTAAAGTGATCTATTGGATTCCCTTCTGCATCTGGATTTAGTAAGACCATTTCAAACTGAATATCCTCGGATTCAGAATAATTCTCCTCGCAGGTAAACTTGTCTACGTAAAACACATACCATGTTTCCGGATAAGGAATCTGGGACACTGTCAGATTTTGCTCTGTGTGGTTCACAGTCACTTTGGAAGAAAACAAACAAGAAGAGGAGTAAATATTCAATTAGTTTGTTTGCAGAAAACTCATCTCTGACTGAAGATAAAATTGAAATCCACACATCATATACAGGTTATAAACTACATACAATAGAAAACAGTCTTTATTTTGAAAGCTAGCCATAACACCAGAGGCCAGACTTCCATCCTCGCCTTTTGTTTCATATAGGTGCAGGCAAGGACTGGTGAGGATCTGTTCCGCATTCCATTTCTCAGCTTTTGGGTTCGCTGGGAGAGCTCGCTTCTGCCAGAAGCCAGTAACTGCAAACTCTGTCTCCTATGCTTAGCACATTTCCATCCTCTAGTACCATACTGATGGGACTAGCTATTTTCTATTAGCCAACAGATACTTCTGCAGTACGAAAAATACCTTTGTGAAATTTATTCTGCTCTATTTTCAAAGATATTTAGAGCACTGAACAGGAACAGCCACATGCAAGATTGATAAACAATAGCACGCATGCTTTCGAGGTGCAACGTAGCTATTTTACAGCATCTTCCCCAAACCATAATAGACTGAATTTCAATTGACAGCTAAGGGCGGAGACCATCATCTAATAAAATTGAGAATTTCAAATCAGTTTACATTTAAAACCAACTGTATAAGAGACTGAAGTTTCATCTGCTCATTGATCTTACCACTATTTTTCCTAAAAGCAACTATTAACGAATGCACAATCTCTCCAGAATAAACACTTGCTGAAAATGAAATCTGTGCCTCTGTATGTTTGGGTGAAACTATAAGAACAGTAAATACTGTTACACTGATTACTGAACTTGAGTGCTAATCAGCTCAACCATAAACGTGAGTCACCTCTGTAGAAGAAATAACAATATAACGACTGGACCGTAGATTAATTGATCTTAATGGTTTAAGATGACAATGGCTAAGGATGAAGAAAGAGAAAAATGTCATTAAACTTCTACAGAACAAACTATTTCTGGTTTTTATGCAAAGGCCTTTCTATATGAAAAAGGTACAAACATACATACAAAACTATCCTCAGCAAACTCATTATCCTTAAATATTTTGTAGACAAAATTTAGAACTAATTTCTAATTTGAAGCCTACCTGTGAAAAACATTTATGTTATTTAAACAGACTTGTTTCAACTTCAAGAAGTTATTTTCCATTCTTTGAAGGCATGAACTGATCACCATTCGGATCGAGGAAGAAATGTGCCATGTGTCTCTTTGCAGCAATTGTCATGAAGTACAAATTTGGACAACACATGAACCAGAAAGAAAAGAGTGTTCTAATACAGGCAGTCTGTCTTGTGTAGCTCATGTAAGTACGTGTTCCACTCTGGAGCTATGTATCCTATCAATCAAATATACAAAGTGAAACAGCTCCCTTCAAAAAACTGAGATTTTTAAAAACACAGCTTTAGGATTTCATATGGCGCTTAATCCAAATGAAAGGCAAAATGCATCTGAGAGGGGTGGCTTTACTCTCCATCTGTACTCTTCGCTGAGTTCTGACACAGTCTTATTTGCATCAAGACTAAGGATCACACAGAGCACGTTTAATCAGTTTTCCATCAAATGTGCAAGCTAACTCACAGGAAATGAAGTAAGATAAAATAAAATGTAATTGATTTTGCTCAAGATCAGCAAACAGATCCAACTCACCCTGTGGTCATATGATTCCTAAACAGAGTAGAAAACAGCGAGTACATTGCTGGGACAGACAGGAGTGACGGACCAACTGCTGGTCATTACAGCAGCCCTTCATGTTCAGCTCAGATCAAGTGTAGGGGAACTAGATCCTTAGAAGTGACATCTGTATAAGATGTCATTATGACAATGTTCCAGGAGATCAATTTGTTACTCTAGGGATTCTGGCTGCACAGAGAAAACGTATTTGGAAAAGCAGCTGTACTCAAGATACCTAAGAATTAAGTTTCTAATATTAATTTAATTTCTTCGAGGAAAATTTATGCTTTAAGTAGGTTTTGTGTAATATTATGATCAATAAATGGTGCAAAAATAATTATTTCTGTATGTTTGTCTTCCAGTTACATAACTGAATGCTTCAATGTTTTACTGTTCTTTTAAATTGAGACAGATACTCAAATTAAGCTTTATCCTGATTAGCTCATCTTTGATACTATATTAAAAAAATTTCTAACATGTTTTGTACATCAAAGCGTGACAGGTTTATGCTACCATGAAAATAAAAATATCCTTTTATTTTTGTTTTCCCTTCTTTGAAAAGTGCCATTTCCATGGAATTGGAGAACAGGAGGCTCCTGAGAAATGAGAAATTTTCCTCCATAAAAAAAAGACAACAAGATAACTTGTATATTCTGTACTGGTATAATTATCAGCTCAAGTAATATAAAGATTGGAATGGGAGATTCAGTGATGAATACCAAATTACAAAATTAAAGGGTGAAGGAACATAAAATGATAATGTGGGCAAGTTATAACGTAAGGCAGGATAATCCCGATTAATTTTTGTAGATGACCTTACAGATGGGGGTGGGGGGGCAGGAAGTGCTAATGATTATGAGGTTGTGGGGGGGAGTACAGAGAAAAAGGGTTTTCAGGTACAAAATTACCCTTTTACTCTGTACTTGGGCTACATACTGCCACCTGACAAGCACTCACTTCAGAAGTTTAGAGGTAACTGCAGGAGGGTTCATCACTTTGCCCCTAATTTTTTTCATTCCACTGCAATAAATGTCACAATTCAAACTGTACATTTGACTGTCCCAAACATTAGATTCTCAAGTTCTTGGTGTCATATTACAATGGTATTCTTTGTAAATTCTTTCAAATACTCAACATAATCTTTCTTCCAGAAAAGTTTGGGATTAAAAAAAAAAAAGACTTTTACTTCAAGCAGAGTTAAAGAAAATCTCTGTACTGAATGAATAAATGAAAACTTCAGCCAAATGTGTACCCTTTCTGAGTTGTGTACAACTGACAGCATGAGACTAGAACTGGTCATAAAGTTTGGTTGTTTGCATTAAAATCATTATTTGTCAAGGATTGTTCATTTTCCAGCAGTATCCTAAATCATAACTTGCAACCAAAGTCTTCTGAAATGATGCAAACAAAGCAATTTTATTTCCTTGTAATAATTTTTAATTACAGAAGGCCGAAGTCCTGCTTTTTCTTAAGTTGTTGCAAAGTCCAAATTCACTGAAATAAATACTCTAAATACACAGATAACTTAACAGGGTTCTAAATATGCAAATAACTTAATTTGTAAGGGGAAAAAAGTAGCAACTCACTTGTCAGCTGAGCTTTAGAGAACTTCTCTGTACAGCTGTGATCTTGGATACTGTTCTGCAGCTTCTGCCATTCCTGTGCTTGAAACAGGTGAAGTCTAGCTGCTTTTGTCACAGCTACTGCTACGTTCTTGATTCTGACACACAGAACAGCATGGTCACCTTGATATTTAAAAAATAAAATCAACTACTCTGCCTTGATGTCAGTTACAAACAAAAAGCTAGTGTGGCATAGATAAGTAGCAGCACTAAAGCTTCACTTTATTGCTTAAACTTTTACCACTACTTCACATAAAAGTCTTTACAGTCTTTCAGAAACAATTTCTGTACATCTCCTTAACACAATACTGCATGCATGGTTCTCTATGATGGTACTTAAACAAACCTTCATCATAACCCAAATGTCATTAACCTTCCCTACTACAAACAGCCTTCTCTCCCCCCTCTTTTTTTTAACAGACTTCTAGATAGCCTTTTTTCCCCCTTCCTCCCACTCCAAATTTTATTTTCTCAAGAAAAAAAGACAGTGCCTCAACCAGTCTCAATAACTGGTTCGAAGTCTAGTATTTTATGACCTTTGTAGCATGGTTATGAGCATCATAGGGTAGCTCTTGAGTCTAATACCAAAAGAACTTATGTAAAAGGACCTTCATGTTATGGACTGATTAGAGCTAAAATAATTATAGATGACAGACATCAAATTGAGACAAAGAAAATCAAACTTCAAAAGTGTTCTCTAATGTGTCAGTCTACCTATAGGCTGCATCTTGACACAGAGAAATATTTTAGCCATTTTAGAACTAGCTCATTTGACACAATTTATCTTGTTTTTAGTGTTGCCGTGAGTCAGAATGTAAATTCTCACCTGCTTATTCCCGATGGCTTTTCTCCCCTCTGTTGTTGACTCCTTGTTAGTAATAATTCCTGACTGTTAGTTAAGAGGCCTAGCAATCTGCAATCCTCAAACTTATTTTGATAAATTCCTTCATTAATATATTGCTATAGACTTCTTTAACATAATGGTATCCTAAATTAAAAGACAGGATTTAATGGAGGAGAAAAAAAATCAGTACTGCAAGGGCACACATTCATATTTAACCAAGCTTTGTATGTTTTTTAAACTGTCAGAGCAACCTGCTTTCCCACCTAATGTAGGCACCAGCTGGATGTGAGTCAATAGACTACTACCAGCTTCCAATAAGGCTCTGCCAGGAAGGTTTATCTGTTCAGAGCCAGCTGCAAGATAGCTGTCCTGCAATAAAACCTCAAAGAAGGCAATCTCCTGGGATCTGCAAAATGTTATCTGGACTACAGTTTACCTAAGTTGCTAATAAAAGATTTTGACACGTTAACAGAAGGTTCTAAAAAAAGCCCATACGACTTCACTAAGACCCAAAATACGTATAGTTGTGGGTATTCATGCAGAAAGAGGAATATTTCTAAGGAAATATGCAACATCAACTTGTAGAATAAATTATATCTGAACGCCTAAACCACTCATCTTGAATGTCAGTATTCTTGTCTCAGATTTATGCAGTGTGGTTTTTTTTCCTTTAGATCTATTTAGAGTGCTTCTACAATTATCTTCTAGGACAGTGATAATTAACTGCTTTCAAGTCACTGCACAAGCTATCCCCATCCTATCTATCATGTCTCTGCGCTGGAAGGTCACATTCCAACTCTTCTTGGCTTATGTCACATTTTCCTTCATCCCACTAGATTTTCTTCTTGCAAACGTTTTTGTTTTCCTCTCACACTCCTCCTCCAGTCTGGGAGGAAGCCCGTGTGAATACGTGAGGTATTATCTTCATGGTTGTCTTTTGAAACATTCTGCAGAACTCCTCTGCCATGAAGCTAACGGAGTAAGAAAACAGTCTATGCTACCAAAATGCTGAGCATATAGGAAAAGCGTGCCGACCAGCACAGCCTTGTAGTGTATGGCACTGAGCATGCTTGCATGTATCTTTTTTTGCGAAGTAAAACTTCTGTGTCAAGGAGAGTCATTTCCAGCCTGTATTTCTGCCATGCTAACAGGATCCTAGCCCACTGCTCGGCCCCTTAACTAACAGCCAGGAATTAGGACTAACAAGGCGTCAACAAGAGAGGGGAGAAAAGCCATCGGGAAGAAGCAGGTGAGAATTTACATTCTGACGCACGGCAACACTAAAAAAACGCCAGTGACGCGACGCAGACGCGCAATGCTTAGGCGCCGGTCTCATTCGGCGGAGTCCCAGGCGGGAAGGAGAGGGGCACGTGCAAGTTAAAATCATGCCCCCGCTCCCCCACACAGTCCCGCC